TCCCAGGCTCAGTACTGCCCCCCACCCCCACCCAGCTTCCTGTCCTTCCTCTACTCTCCTCTTCCACTCCAGCTACATGGGCCTCTTTTCAGTCTCCAGAAGGTTCCATGGTGCTGTCTTCGCGTCAGATGGCCAAAGTATTGAAGCTTCAGCTTCAGCTTGGGCTTCCCTGGTCACTCAACTGGTAAAGAATCTGCCTGCAATGCGGGAGACCTGAGTTCCATTCCTGGGTTGGGAAGATCACCTGGAGAAGGGAACGGCTACCCACTCCAGTATTTTGGCCTGGAGAATTCCATGGATTGTATAGTCCATGGGGTCACAAAAAATTGGAAACAATTGAGCAATTTTGACTTTCACTTTCTTTTAGCTTCAGCACCAATCATTCCAGTGAATATTCAGGACTGATTTATTTTAGGATTGACTGGTTTGATCTCCTTGCAGTCCAAGGGACTCTCAAGAGTCTTTTCCAATGCCACAATTCAAAAGCATCAGTTCTTTGGCGCTCAACTTTCTTTATGGTGCAACTCTGACATCCACACATGACTACTGGAGAAGCCATAGCTTTGACTATATGAACCTTTGTCCAAAAAAGTGACGTCTCTGCTTTTTTACATGCTGTCTTGGTTTGTCATAGATTTTCTTCCAAGGAGCAAGTGTCTTTTAATTTCATGGCTGCAGTCACCATCTGCAGTGATTTTGGAGCCCAAGAAAATAAAGTCTGTCACTATTTCCATTGTTTCCCCATCTATTTGCTACGCAGTGATGGGACGGATACCATGATCTTTGTTCTTTGGATGTTGAGTTTTAAGCCAGATTTTTCACTCTCCTTTTTCACCTTAATTGCTTTCTGCCATGAGGGTGGTGCCATCTGCATATCTGAGAATATTGATACTTCTTCCTGCATCCTTGATTCCAGCTTGTGCTTCATCCAGCCCGGCATTTCACATGATGTACTCTGCATATAAGTTAAATAAGCAGGGTGATGATTTACAACCTAGACATACATACTCCTTTCCCAATTTGGAACCAGTAAATTGTTCCATGTCCTATTCTAACTGTTGCTTCTTGACCTGCATACAGATTTCTCATGAGGCAGATAAGGTTGTCTGGTATGCCCATCATTAAGAATTTTCCAGTTTGTTGTGGTCCACACAGTCAAAGGATTTAGTGTAGTCAATGAAGCAGAAGTAGATGTTTTTCTGGAATTATCTTGCTTTTTCTATGATCCAACAGATGTTGGCAACTTGATCTCTGGTTCCTCTCCCTTTTCTAAATCCATTTTGAACATCTGGAAGTTCTCAGTTCACATACTGTTGAAGCCTAGCTGGAGAATTTTGAGCATTACTTTGCTAGTGTGTGAAATGAGTGCAATTGTGCAATAGTTTGAACATTCTTTGGCAATACCTTTCTTTGGGGTTGGAATGAAAACTGACCTTTTCCAGTCTTGTGGCCATTGCTGAATTTTCCACATTTACTGGCATATTGAATGCAGCACTTTCACAGCATCATCTTTTAGGATTTTAAATAGCTCAGCTGGAATTCCATCACCTCCACTAGCTTTGTTTATAGTGATGCTTCCTAAGGCCCACTTGACTGCACACTCCAGGATGTCTGGCTCTAGGTGAGTGATCACACTCACCTGGTTTTCTGGGTCATTATGATCTTTTTGTGTGTAGTTCTTCTGTGTATTCTTGTCACCTCTTCTTAATATCTTCTGCTTCTGTTAGATCCATACCATTTCTGTCCTTTATTATACCTATCTTTGCATGAAATGTTTCCTTGGTACCTCTAGTTTTCTTGAAGAGGTCTCTAGTCTTTCCCATTCTTTGTATTCCTCTGTTTCTTTGCACTGAAGTAGGTAGCCTATCCCTTTTCCAGGAGATCTTCCCAAACCAGGAATCGAACCAGGGTCTCCTGCATTGAAGGCAGATTCTATACCAACTGAACTACCAGGGAAGTCCACTCACTCCTCAGACCCTGGGAAAAACCTCAGAAGACTATTTCTACTCTCCCTTGGTTTCTGCATCTTTGTAATAGGAGGACACATCCACTCAGGCCCTGGGTGGAACAACATCTGGCTAAATCGGGATTGAACCCTGGCTCTGCTCTGTGACCTGGTGCAGATTACTTACTGTTGAGCCTTGGTTTTCTCAACTGTAAAACTGGGGAAATGATGCTTCAGAGAATTGTAAGGATGAAACATGTTCACAGGCAGAAAAATCTTATCTTGGTGCCTGACATGTAGGAAGCACTAATTAATAAAGGTAGGTGGTGACCAAGATTCCTTCCAGAGCTAGCCTTCTGTCATGTTGTTCTTGTTCAGTCGCTCAGTTGTGTCCAACTCTTTTCAACCCCATGGACTGCAGCATGCCAGGCTTCCCTGTCCTTCACCACCTCCTGGAGTTTGCTCAAACCCATGTCCATAAGTCAGTGATGCCATCCAACCATCTCACCCTTTGTCTTCTCCTGCCTTCAATCTTTCCCAGCATCAGGGTATTTTCTAAGGAGTTCTTCACATCATGTGACCAAAGTATTGTAGCTTCAGCTTTGGCATCAATCCTTCCAGTGAATATTCAGGTTTGATTTCCTTTCAGATTGACTGATTTGATCTCCTTGCAGTTCAAGGGACTCTCAAGAGTCTTCTCCAGCACCACAGTTCAAAAGCATCAATCTTCAGCATTCAGCCTTATTTATGGTCCAAGTCTCAGTCATGTAGGCTCAGCTTTTTCAGCATCTTGAGACCTCTATAAAGTCAGGTGTGTTGGTCCTTAAAGAGCTGTTCTCCTAGTCCTCTGTAGCTGGAAGAGGAGTTCTGTAGGGGTTGGGGACCACAGTCTGGACTTGGTTCACTTCACTGAGCACTGGAGGCAAGATGGGGTATCCTGACCATCTGCCCTGGATGTCATCTGGCCATCCACCCCCGCACCATGTGGAAAACATCCATGTCTGTCCAAGCCCAAAGAACTTCTCTCTCTAGCACAAAGGTTAGGAGCCCTAGTTCTGGAGTCAGACTTACCATTTAATTACAGTTTTGCATCAGTGGAGTCATGATCAACTTAATTTACCTCTGAGCCTAGTTTTCTTGACTGTAAAATGGGAATGATTCTAGTATCTGCTTCAGAGGCCCAGAGAAGGTCATGTGAGACATTGGGTCCTGGGCCTAGCACATTGCAGATGTGCAATAAATAATAATTCTTTTTTTTTTTGGCTATACTGGGTTTTCATTGCTGCGTGCAGGCTTTCTCTACTTGTGGTAAGCTGGGGATACTCTCTAGTTACCACGCTCCGGCTTCTCGTTGCTGTGGCTTCTCTTGTTGCACAGGCTCTAGGTGTGCAGGCTCAGTAGTTGTGGCGCACAGCGCCTAGTTGCCCTGTAGCATGTGGGATCTTCCCAGACCAGGGGTTGAACCCGTGTCCACTACATTGGCAGATGGATTCTTAACCACTGGACCGCCACGGAAGTCCAATAGTAATTCTTCTAGAAATGCAGCCAGAGTTCCTTGCTGCAGGTGGCATCCTCTCCTTAACACCCCCCACCCCCCTGAGCACAGGACCATAAACCTGGGCCTTTCACTGCAGTCCTTTCTGTGTCTACCCTTGCTCTCTGGGCCCGGCATGCTGCTGCTGCCTCAGGCTATTGGCATCCTTGAACCCTCAGTGCCTGGAGCAAACTCCCTTAAAGGTCCTTGTCCACCACTGGACCCCACTCCTACAGTCTCGCCACCACCCCCAACCTCAACCCCATCCTGGCCCTACCCCTCCTCAGGGCTCTGGGTGTTGTGTCCTTGCCTGTGCTTCTGGGAGTCCACCCTGGAACACCCCACTCTCCCTCCCCTGTGCCTGGCTGGTCCCCAAGTCCCCTTTAGCACCAGCTCCGAGTTCCCCGCTTCTTCCCCCTGCCTTCCCCATAGCATCCATCTGCTCCTTCCTTCCTTCCTTCCTCTTTTAAAAAATTATTTATTTGGGACTTCCTGGCAGTCCAGTGGTTTAAGAATCTACCTGGCAGTGCATGGGACATGTGTTCGATCCCTGATCCAGGAACTAAGACCCCACATGCTGAGTAAGCAACTAACCCCTCGCACCACAACTAGAGAACCTGCATAACACAATGAAGATCCCACGTGCTGCAGGTAAGACCCGACATAGCTAAACAAACAAATGAATAAATATATACTAACAGAGATCTTTAGTTGCAGCATATGGGATCTAGTTCCCCCCACCAGGGATCAAACCCTGGACCCCCTGCATTGGGAGCACAGAGTTTTAGCCACTGAACCACCAGGAAGGTCTAATACTTCCTTCTTTACTTGCTTTGCAATCAGGACTCTCTTGATTTCCAGGAATAGAGACCAGTTCCAGTAAAGAGGCCTGTCTCTGAAGGACATACGTGGCATTAAAAAGGGTGGGACAGTGCATGGACTCTTAGTATAAATCCTAACATGTTACCTTCCTGCAGAAAAGCTCCTGGTGACTTCCTTCAGTGCCCTGGAGATGAAGTCCATGCTCCTTGCCGAAGCCCTCCAGGCCCACCTTTCCCCTCTGGTCTCCTGCCCCCGGGATGTTCTCCCGTTCCTTGGATGCACTGGACATCTGCTCAGCCCCACACGGCACCCCACTCCGGTGTACTGAAATCAGCTTCATTTGAGCCCCTCCCGGCCATCGAGGCCTCCTCTGGTTTCAGAACAGATTCCCAGATTCCCCAAAGGAGCCTCCTTGGAAGTAGGAAGGGGTGAGGGTGTCAGCGGCCCCGAGGAACTGGGGAGGGGTGACCTGGCAGTGTCCTCTGGTCTGATCTGTGCTCTTCCTCTTTTTCTACCACTGTTGGGGGCCACTCTCTTGCTGGTGTCTGAGCAGACATTGCTGAAGCCCTCTTAGGTCTTTGGCCGGGGCTTCTGGTGTTTTTTGATTCCAGAGGCTTTCCTGCCCACTCATCCTACCACCATGGTGGTCACAGTCACAGTTCTCTTCTTTACCCCACCCCCTCTTTTTTTGTGCCACAGGCGATCCTCCTGGTTCACTGGCTGCTGACAACCTGGTGAGTGACTGTGGGTGTCCAGTTCTGTGTCCCCCTGGTCTCCGGAGATCTGGGTCCACATGTCTCTCTGGGGTCTTGTCCACATGTATCCTGGGTCCTGTCCACATGTCTTCCTGGGGCCTTGTCCATGTCTCCTGGCCCATTCTAAGATTAAATAGCTCCTCTGTCAAGATCATCATCAGCAAGCTCCTATGTCCCAAGGATGTTGGAGGGGCAGGTGGTACCCAGAGGCCTTTACCATCACTGACCCTAGGAGCTTCGAGCCCTCATCCTCAAGAAGACAGCAGCCCGGGGGGCAGTACTGACAGCTCAGACCTTCCTCCAGACACTGCCTAAGCCCTTTGGGGCTTGGCATCCCCTCTGGTTCCTCCCCCAGGGCCTTTGTGTCTGGGCCTGTGAGGTGCTGAAGCCTAGAGGCTGGCCTCTTATACCTTGCTGGGGTGGATGTCCAGTGGAGCTCTATGTGTCTGTGACCTTGGTGAGCCACTCAAACCCCCTGAGTCATTTTCTCACCTATAATGTGAGAGTATTACTGACCCTCCCACTTATCCTGTTAAGTCATCTGAAGGTGAAAACACAATTTCTGAAACCATAATAATTGCTGACCTTTATTGAGGGTGCCTTCTGGAGGCTAACTCAGCAGCTCAGCAAGTAGACATATGATGAACCTGAGTTCAAGGGTGAGGGCACTCACTTAGGGGTGGACCCTCATTCTCATTTCATACCCCCTGCCCAGAGACAGCAGACTCAGGATTTCGACTGACCCTGGTCATGTCCTTAGCCCTGCCATGTTCCAGCCGGGTCACCTTGATCAAATGACTTCACTTCTCAGTACCTTGGATTCCATCTGTAAAATGGGTGCAAGGATGCACAGCCCTCAGGAGCTGTGAGGGAGAAGCATGGCCTTGCTCTGCTCACCAGACATTGCCCAGGGGCCTGCACAAGGGAGGCCCGGGGACCGCAGGGTGATTTTCATCATTACCTTCTGCTTTATCGGTTGAGTTTCTGGGGAGATTTTTCTGCCTGACCAAGACTGGAAACCATTGAGCTCACGTGTGCATTTTGCAGACGTGAAAGTGCAGTGCATGTGTTCATGGGTGTGAATAACGGGAGCAGTGGTCATCATGGTTATGGCCTTGGGGAGCAGAGTGAAAATCCAGATTTCTCAGGCACACTCCCTGAGACTCTGAGTTAATGAGTCCATGCTGGGCCCCCAGCACTTGCTTTCTCAAAACCAAAAAATGAGATGACTAATTCCAAGTAAGCCCCACAGTGCTCTGCACTTAACTGCTTTGCACATGTTTTCCACATGGTACACTTCAGGGAATGTCATTTACATTTATGAAGCACCCCACTGTGTGCTTGGGCCATCCAGGTGGGTAAGAGCATGGCCTCTTAAGCCAGACTGCCTGGGTTTAAATCCCAGCTCAGCCACTTAGCAGCTGTGTGACCTTGGGCAAGTTCCTTGACTTCTCTGGGCCTCAGTCTCCTCTTCTGTAAAATGAAGATGACCGTAGTGCCTCTTTACAAGGGTTGTTAACGCATATGCACATACATGAACCCATTTAAAGCACTCATAACTGTGCCAGATACTAGTAAGAGCTCTGGGTTAACTATTCTTTTCTTTGAATTGACAAACAGTTTAGTTAGTAGCAATGCCCTACAAAATAAAAGAGAGTGGGTGTTGTGTTAGAAGGTGGTCCTTACAGTGGGGCAGTCAGGGAAGGAGTCTCAGAATTAACACATGAGCTGAGCCTAAACTGACAAGAAGAGACCAAATGTTCAGGTAGAAGGAACAGCAAGGCAAGGGATGGGAGGTATAGGCTGGGCTGTGTCATCAGACCCCACAGGGCCCTGTAGACCACGGTCAAGAGTCTGAATTTGATTCCAAGAAAGTGTTGGAGGACTTTTAGCAGAGAAATGACATCTGATTTACCTTAATGGTTGCTGTTTATGGAGGAGTTAATAAGTGTCGCTAGTGGTAAAGAATTTGCCTGCCAATGCAGGAGACGTAAGAGACACAGGTTCGATCCCTGGGTCTGGAAGATCCCCTGGAGGGGGGCATGGCAACCCGCTCCACTATTCTTGCCTGGAGAATCCCATGGACAGAGGACCCTGGCGGGCTACTGTCCACAGGATCACAAAGAGTCAGAAACAACTGAAGTGACTTAGTACGCATGCAAGCACATTTATGGGATGGCCAGGATGGGGCAGGAATGGAAGTTAGGGGACCAATGGGGAGAGGCTACAGCGAAACGATCAGTCCCAGTAGGAGAGGATGGTGGTTTGGACCTGAAGGGATATGGCCAGATTCCGGATCTATTTGGGAAGCAGAGCCGATGGGACATGCTGACATTTTTGGCACATGGGTGGGAAGTAGGGGAGTGGAGAGGGGAATGAGGCCAAACTGTGGCCTCTGCTCGTGGGGCCCCTGAGACCTGGAGCCCCAGGAGGTGACCTGTGGGAGGGGTGGGCACCTAGGGGGCACCTCTTGACTTGACTCAGGCACCTCCTCCCGCAGGGGCTGCATTGTGTTCCAGGGCGCCTATCCCTGGACCAACTTCCCCATCCTGGCCTTGGGCGTGTGGGCTGTGGCGCAGCGGGACTCTGTTGACGCCATAAGTATGGTGAGCTGGGGGAGCAGCCAGGGAACTGGCTTCAGGGTGGTCGTGGGCCCAGCTCCGTCTTCCCCTTCACCTGTCCTGTCTTCTCTGCCTTCTTTTTCCCCCATTTTCCATTTTCTAGAGTCCAGGTTCCCAGCCCACATGTATCTTAACTAGCCTGGCCTGCTGCTCTGCCTACCTGGCTCAGAGAGTCTCCTCATTTTTTTCCCCAAAAGGGGCATGGGGTGGACTCCCACCAATGCCCCACGAGATTGGCTGCTCCTGGAGGGCAGTAGGGCATGCACCAGTAACCCTGCTTGAGGGCCCCCCTAATAGGGAGGGGCCCCCATGAAGAGGGAGCTCCACCACTTTGTGAAGTCAGAGTGGACACAGTTTGGCTAAACTGTCCCACTGGCAGCCCTCAGACACCTGCTCAGACCCCATGGCTGTGAGCGCCAGTGTGGGCCTCTCAGGATGGTTAGGGACGGATTTCTTCAGTGGTGGAGATGGAGCCAGTGAATTCCAAAGGACCTTCCATCTGGAAGATTCTGAGCCCACGTCTTGTGCCTCATCATAGCCTCAAGGATGAGAAGAGTTGGGGGAGAGGGCTCTGTTAGAGCTGGCAGGTTGGATCCAGACAGGGACCCCAACCCTGCTCTCAGCCCTGCAGTTCCCAGTCGGGCATCTAGTCTGCAGAGTCCCACCTGCTGTCTTGGTCTGTCTTCCAGCAAACCCCAAGGACACAGTAGGGCACAAATGGAGCTTCCAGTCTGGTATATATGGTGGGGGGTGGGGTGACAGGGCAGCAGCGCGCTCATCAACACTAATGACACCGTGGTCACCCCTCGGCCCTGTGCCTGGCTGTCTTGCAGTTTCTGGGTGGCTTGGTGGCTACCATCTTCCTGGACATTATCTACCTTGGCATCTTCTACCCGAGGTCCAGCCTCTCGGACACGGTGCGCTTCAGCGCAGGCATGGCCATCCTCAACCTGATCCTCAAGCCGATCTCCTGCTTCTTCGTCTACCAAATGTACCGAGAGCGTGGGGGTGAGCTCCTGGTCCACGTTGGTGAGACCACCACCTGCAGCCAGCTCCCCAATTCCCCTCCCACCAGCCCAGGTGCTGGCACTGCTGTCTCCTCCTCTCTCCTTGGTCTCTGCCTTGCCCGCCCCCCAGCCCCTGCCCCAGGGAGCCAACCTTGCCCCCTGAGACAGGGATTCAAGGTGCAGGGTGGGGCCTGGTGTGGGCTCTGGGCACCAGGTTGGAAAATGTGCAAGTTTCTGGTTTCCTAGAAGAACCCAGGGGTCCCCCAGCCATCCCTGCCTGGTATGACCTTTCCCTGGCACCAGGCTATGATGCCATGTCCTTCTCTCAGCTTAAACATGGGTGCGACTGGGGGCCTGATCCAAGACCCCAGGCAGCTCTGGGCAGCCTGCAGCCCAAGGCCCATAGGCACCTGCAGGGCCAGCTTCCCCTCTCAGCTCCCTCTAGTCCCATCGCTGGAACCCCCTTTCCTGCCACCTATGGGGTCTGGGTGACCAGGGGAGAGTCAGTGCTGGCCTCGGTCCTGGGAGCCCTGGCTAAAGCCAGCCCTGAGCTGCACATGCCTTTCCTTAGCCCGGCCCCACTCCCCCCCCCCACAGCCTCTCTGAGCTGAACCCCTGCTTGTTGCAGCCCTTCCCCAGCCCCCTGTGACACCCGTTCTCATGTCCTTTCTCTCTGAGAGAAGTGGGGAGAGGTGTGGTCTTCTGCCTTTCACTCTTGAAGAGTGGCCTGAGACCTGCTGGGGGAGCAGCTGGGTTGAGGCTGGGAATGGCCCAGGGCTGCCCACCCTTGGCAAACCGCCAGGCTCCCGGACCTGCCCTGGGGTAGGGAAGAGCCAGCGCGGTCCCTTCATTAGACAGATGAAGATACAGAGGCCTGGGGCGCTGGGGGCTTGTTCAGGAGCACAGGACAGATATGGGGAGTGAGGACAGGAGTGAGGAGTATGGCACCCAGAACCCAACAGCCAGCCTGGCATCGTCTGGGCTCTGCAGCTGCGCCAGCCCCGGGGGCCTTCTGGATGCTGTACAACAATGTCCATTATCCGGGAGAGGAGCTGGAGGGGAGCCCATGGGTCCAGGGCTGGGTATCCCTCGGCCAGATTCCTGAGCATGTGCTCCCAGGGAAGGACTGAGGCCCCTCTCTTTGGGGTCGTGCGGCATAGGTTTGAACCCTAGTGTCCTCTATTTCAAGCTTTATAATCTTAAGCAAGTCGGTTTATCTTTTTAACACTCGGTTTCCTCATCTGTAAAGTAGGGACAAAAAAAAATACCCTGCTCTGTAGGGTTACAGGAGGATTTAATAAATGATACATGCTAAAGGCTTGGTGCCTGGGGCTGCTGCCACTGGGTGCCCGGATGCCCAGCTGTGGCTTTTCTTGATGGGGTGAGATGGGTGGTGGGGAGTAGGGGGATCTTGGTTTGGCCTCGTGGAATGTCCTAAGTCCTCACCCTTCATTTTTTTCTTTCCTTCCATCTCCCTCCAACCCCCAGGTTCCCTTAGGCCCTCAGAGGATCGCAGTTCGTACCAGCCGATCGACTCCTCAGAGGTGCCTGCTGACCCGGAGAGCAAGGCTCACGTGACCCGAGGATACTGAAGCCCAGCCCAGGGGCCAGTCTGACAAACTGTGGGGCTGGCAGAGAGGAGGCCTCATCACCTTCTTTGTGCCTTAGACGTCATCCTAGGGGGTGCTCCTGACCGCCCCCTGCTTTCTCAGAACTAACTTCTGTCCTCCAGTTCCCCATCTCAGGGGCTGCCTGAATCAAGTGCCCTAAGAGGCCCAGAGCCCCTGTGCACACCTGTCCCCAATTCCTCGAGGCCTCTCCTCCCTTCTGGGTAGCCCACTGGTCCCAGGCTGGGAACTCTGGTTGCTTTTGTCCCCTCCACCCTTAGCTGCTCCATGCAGGCCCCAGGCCGAGCCGTGCCCAAGCCTGGCAGGATCAGGCCTCTGGGGGCCACTGGTGCCCCCCCCGCCTCGGCCTCTCCTGAGGTTGGCCATGCCCTCCCACAGGAGCTCCGAGAGCCTCGGGTCTTGCTAACTGCCAGGAGCACAGGGGTGAGGACCCCTGGCTTCTCACTACCTGGTCACTTGGTGCCTGGGGACCCCAGGGCTGGTGACAGGAGGGGTCTGCAGCCCCTCAGACCCCCATCAGCCTCTGGCTGCGGCCACAGCATTAAAGTTCAGGGAATTCTGCAGCCAAGTGTGTTTGAGCCGTGTTTCCTCTCCTATCAGAGCTGGGGCCTGGACTTGCCATTCCCAGGAAGATTTCTCCTGTGAATCTCCAGGGTGCCAGGGCTTAGGTGCCTGTTTTCTTGTGACAGAAGGAAACGGGGCTCGTGACCAGCTGGGCCTGCGGGTGCTCAGCTTCGGCCTAGCCGAGGCCCCGGGAGAGAATGCCAATGTGTCAAACAGGCATCCATGTCTCTGAATTAAGTGACTCAGGTATTGGTTTGAGTCCTGCTCTGCCACTGACTGTGTGCCCTTGGGCATCTCAACCTTTGGACCCCATGTCTGCTGGAAGAGGGCTGATAACTGCCCAGAGAGAGAGAGACGACACAGGTGAAACGTACAGTGTCTGACCCTCAGGAGGGCTCCCTAAATGACAGCAAAGTTTTTGGTGGGTCTGCTCCCTAAGCCTATGCTGATGTTGGTCAATAGTCCAGGGGTGGCCTCCCCCTGGCAGACCCGCTGTCTTGGACTCAGAGTAAACTGAGACACCTGTCCAAAGTTCCAGGGGTTTCATGGCCAGGACCCTACCCCACCCACATTGGGATGGGTATTGACCACTGGGCCCAGGCATCTGGGCTTTGTCAGGCCATCCTGGCTTGCTTGTCCCTGGCACAGAGATGTCAAGGCCGGGTGCACAGCCCCCACCACCCCATTCTTCCGTATCCATCCATCCAAAGAGGCTGAGTGCCTGCCAGTGCTGGGCATGAGCCTGGGGCTACAGGGGTGAACTCAGGTCTTGCCCTCAGGGTAACAGACACTGGGAGTCCTGTCAGGAGGCCTGAGCCCTGAAAAAAGGAACATGGGCCTCCAAGGAAGGGACTCATGTTCTGGGGCCGAGGAATGCAGAGCAGCTGCAGCTGCAGAAAACCAGAAACAGTCTCATAGTCAGACGAAGACAGACAAATAAGCCATGGTTCATTCATTCTAAGGAGTACTGTTCAGCAGTTCAGATGAATAAACCAGACCCATTTCTATCAATGACTCAGTCCCTCCAAATATCAATTGCAGAATGGCACATGCAACATGAGAGCATTAGTGTGAATTTTAAAAGCTCATAGAAATACTTTGTATTGTTCATGGGTGTGTATGTGGTAAGACATAAAAGCATTGACTAGAAGGACCTGCCTCAAGTTCATGATTGTGGCCCTGGGTGGCAGAGCGTTTCCAATTCTCTGCCCCCCTCTTTTTTTAAAAAAAATTTTTGGCTGCACTGGGTCTTCATTGCTGCACACAGGTTTTCTCCAGTTGCAGAGAGCGGAGGTTACTCTAGTTGCAGTGCGCGAGCTTCTTATTGCGGTGGCTTCTCTAACTGCAGAGCACAGGCTGTAGGGACATGGGCTTCGGTACTTGTGGTGCATGGGCTTAGTTGCGGCATGTGGAATCTTCTAGGACCAAGGGTCAAACCTGTGTCTCCTCCATTGGCAGATGGATTCCTACCCACTGTACCACCAGGGAGGTCTCCAGTTCTCTTGTTTATACCAGTTCCTGGCACGTGGGAGGCTGGCAGTGTATGTGCTCCTTGAACATGTCAGGAGCAGATGAGAACAGGAAGAAGGAATGAGGTCAGGGAGGCAGCAGGGGCCAGATGATGCAGTCAGAAGGTCATTTCAGGAACTTTGAATGAGATGGGAGCTGCTGGAGGGCTTTGGGCAGAGTTGGACATGGTCTGATTTACGGTCTAGAAGGACAGTGTTGGACAGAGAGGTGGGGGTGGTGACAAGTGGTCAGGCCAAGCAGAGCACCAAGCACCAGCTATATCAATCTAGGGGAGTTCTTCAGGTACTTCTGCCTGATAGGGATAGAACAGGTCAGGAATAGGTCAGAAAGATCCCTTAGAAAGGGAAATGGCTGTAGCTCACCAGGCTCCTCTGTCCATGAGATTTCCCAGGCAAGAATACTGGAGTGGCAACCCACAAAATAGTCGGACATGACAGCATAAACAACAACAGGTAGTTGTAGAAGTTCTAGTAGGGTAGATAGGAAAACCTAGGAAATGTTGGGAGACCACTGTAAGTTAATGATCACTCAAGAAAGCTATTGGAAGGTAGTGAAATTACAGCCTTGCTAAACTATAAAGTCATAAATAAAGGCACAAGATATGCCCCAAGCCATTGTGTGTGTGTGTGTGTGTGTGGTAAGTTGCTTCAGTCGTGTCTGACTCTTTGTGACCCCATGGACTGTAACCCACCAGGCTCCTCTGTCCATGGGATTCTCCGGGCAAGAATACTGGAGTGGGTTGCCATGCCCTCCTCCAGGGATCTTCCCTGACCCAGGGATCAAACCCACGTCTTATTTCTCTTGCATTGGCAGGCAGGTTCTTTACCACTAGCATCACCTGGGAAGCCCCAAGGCCATTAGGTGAAAGAAAAATGTCACCACTCTTCTTTTGATATAATAATCCTAAGAGATTAAGAAGAGATGGCAAGAATACACAGAAGAAGTGTACCCAAAAAAAAGTCTTAATGACCTAGATAACTATGATGGTGTGGCCAATCGCCTAGAGCCAGACATCCTGGAGTATGAAGTCAAGTGGGCCTTATGAAGCATCACTACAAACAAAGCTATTGGAGGTGATGGAATTCCAGCTGAGCTATTTAAAATCCTAAAAGATGATGCTGTGAAAGTGCTGCACTCAATATGCCAGCAAATGTGGAAAACTCAGCAATGGCCACAGGACTGCAAAAGGTCAGTTTTCATTTCAATCCCAAACAAGGGCAATGCTAAAGAATATTCAAACTACCACACAATTGCACTCATTTCACATGATAGCAAGTGCTCAAAATCCTTCAAGCTAACCTTCAACAGTATGTGAACTGAGAATTTCCAGATGTTCAAAATGGATTTAGAAAAGGCAGAGGAAGCAGAGATCAAATTGCCAACATCCGTTGGATCACAGAAAAAGCAAGAGATTTCAGAAAAACATCTGCTTTGTTGACTACGCTGAAGCCTTTGACTGTGTGGATCACAATAAACTGTGGAAAATTCTTCAAGAAATGGGAATATCAAGCCACCTGCCTCCTGCAAAACCTGTATGCAGGTCAAAAAGCAACAGCTAGAACCAGACATGGAACAATGAACTGGTTTGAAATTGGGAAAGGAGTACATCAAGGTTCTATACTGTCACTCTGCTTATTTAACTTACATGCAAAATGCCTGGCTGAATGAAGCACAAGCTGGAATGAAGACTACCAGGAGAAATATCAACAACCTCAGATATGCAGATGATGATACTATAATGGCAGAAAGTGAAGAGGAACTAAAGAGTCTCTTAATGAAGATGAAAGAGGAGAGTGAAAACGCTGGTTTAAAACGGAACATTCAAAAACTTAAGATCATGGCATCCAGTCTCATCACTTCATGGCCAACAGATGGGGAAAAAATGGAAACAGCGGCAGATTTTATTTTCTTGGGCTCCAAAATCACTGCAGCCATGAAATTAAAAGATGCTTGCTTTTGGAAGAAAAGCTATGACAAACCTAGACAGCTTATTAAAAAGCAGAGACATCACTCTGCCACCAAAGGTCTGTATAGTCAAAGCTATGATTGTCCCAGTAGTCATGTACAGATGTGAGAGTTGGACCATAAAGAAGGCTGAGTGCCTAAGAATTGATGCTTTCGAACTGTGGTTGAGAAGACTCTTGAGAGTCCCTTGGACAGCAAGGAGATCAAACCAGTCAATCCTGAAGGAAATAAACCCTGAATATTCATAAGGACTGATGCTGAAGCTCCAATACTTTGGCCACCTGATGCAAAGACCTGACTCATTGGAAAAGATTCTGATACCGGGAAAGATTGAAGGTAGGAGGAGAAGGGGATGACAGAGGATGAGATGGTTAGATAGCATCAGAGACTCAATGGATGTGAATTTGAACAAACTCCAGGAAATAGTGAAGGCCAGGGAAGTCTGGCCTGCTGCAATCAGTGGGGTCAAAAAGAGTCAGACATAGCTTAACAACTGAACAAAAAGAACAATCCCTAGTTTGACCTCAGGTCAGACACTCTCCTGACTGATAGGAAGGAGAAGCTCATGATATAAGCCTCACATCTTCTGGAAGAAGGTAGTCTTTTCCCCTCCCCTTTTCCTTTGACAATAAAATTGTAGTCTACTTAATCCTGGGGCAGAGCTCCCTCACCTGCCCACCTGCATCTCTTACAAGCATCCTATGTTAATAAATCTGCTTCTTGCCTATCACTTTGCCTCTTGCTGAATTCCTTCTGTGCCGAGAGACAAAGAACCTGAGCTTCATTAAGTCCTGAAATCAAGTGTGTGATCTTAGTTGGAAGACTGTGGGTTTTGGCTGGGTTCAAGTCCCAATCTGAGGTGAATGGTTTCATGCCCATGGCAACTTGGTATTGGAGGCACCAAGGAAAACATCAGGCACTCAAGCACTGATGGACAGTGCTGGGCTCATGCCGAGAAGAAACTGCATGAACAGCATCAGCAGTGGTCATCACTTTGCCAATAAAGGTCTGTATAGTCAAAGCTATGGTTTTTCCAGTAGTCATGTATGAATGTGAAAGTTGGACCGTGAAGAAGACTGAGCACCAAAGAACTGAGGCTTTCGAACTGCAGTGCTGGAGAAGACTCTTGAGAGTCACTTAAGTCCAAGTCAATCCTGAAAGAAATCAGTCAATCCTAAAAGAAATCAGTCCTGAACACTCACTGGAAGGACCGATGCTGAAGCTGAAGCTCCAATACTTTGGTCACCTGATGTGAAGAGATGACTCATTGGAAAAGACCCTGATGCTGGGAAAGGCTGAAGGCAGGAGAAGAAGGGGATAACAGAGGACAAGATGGTTGGATGGCATCACCAACTCAATGGACATGAATTTGAGTAAACTTCAGGAGATAGTGGAGGACAGAGAAGCTGACATGCTGCAGTCCATAGGGTCACAAAGAGTCGGACACGACTGAGTGACTGAACAACAAGTGGTGTTGGTCCCCTGGGACCAGCAGGCGTCTCCCAGCAA